GAACCAGCTTCCAGTTTGGATTCAGGAGACAGACACTATCTCTACTTTCAAGATTAGGCTTCAAACTTTCCTTTTTGCTAAAGCATATAGTTAGGGCTGGACCAGGTGACCCTGAATCCTCCCTTAGTTATGCTGCAGTAGATGTAGGCTGCCGGGGATTCCCATGATGCATTGAGTTTTTCCTTTCCAGTCACCTTTCTCACTCACTATGTGTTAACAGACCTCTCTGCATTGAATCATATCTGTTATTAACCTCTGTCTCTCTTCCACAGCATGTCTTTATCCTGTCTTCCTTCTCTCACCCCAACCAATCACAGCAGATGGCCCCGCCCCTCCCTGAGCCTGGTTCTGTTGGAGGTTTCTTCCTGTTAAAAGGGAGTTTTTCCTTCCCACTGTCGCCAAAGTGCTGCTCATTAGGGGGTCATATGATTGTTGGGTTTTTTTCTCTGTATCTATGAAGCACCTTGAGGCAACTTATGTTGTGATTTGGCGCTATATAAATAAAATTGAATTGAATTGAATTGAATTGAAGAGATGCTGAAGGATGAAGGCTGGGCCTCAGAGATCTCAGGACCCTGGGACTGATGTAATCAGGGCTTACAGCATTGTTCTGTCTCCCCCGTGGCTCTGTCACCTGTGTGTCCAGAGTTGTATTGTCCTGTGTTTTACAGCCCACATACTGCTGGATAGTTGGCAGAGTCACTGGAAGTGCATGGTGTGAGCGACTGGTGGCTGTTGGGCCCGAGCAGAGCAAGGAGTGACAGCTGATCCTAAAGCCTGATTGTGTTCATCTGGAAGTTTCCAGTGGGAGAAACGTTTCATCATCATCATCATCATCAGGTGACGTCTTCAGTCTCAGCTGACTGCAGGTTTCCAATCTTATAAACAGGACATTTGCACGATGACTGAAACCAGCCCAGTGAAGGAACAAAGGGCTGTGAGGTCAGTTTGTTGATCATTAATAGGCAAACAGTCATGATCACTGATTAACAACACTGATCAATGATCAATGGCCACGGGTAGGGATGGGTATCGTTTAGGTTTTATCCGATACCGGTGCCAAACCGGTACTTTTGAAACGGTGCCGGTGCTCAAACGGTGCTCAAACCGGTGCTTAAAGAATGGAGAACACAAACTTTGTCCAAAAACCTCTCATGTTCAGCTGTTTTTTGTAAAAAGATAACAATGTTAGCCTTTTCTGCAGCTATGGGGCATATATGGTATCACTCTTGGCTGGAAGCAGTGCTTAAACAATGGAAAAAACACAAACTTTGTCCTAAACCTCTCATGTTTAACTGTTTTCCACTTTTTCTTTGGTCATTTTAGCCTTTTTGGCCAGGGTGAAGGGAGTATCTGCCATCAAACAAGAAGACAGCCGCATGTAGCTATGATGGTGTTTGCTAGTTCACCTTACATGCATTAATGTAATAACGTGGTTAGCCTACTCAACGTAAATTACACACGAACAACATTAAGCTACTCACACAGAGAAGAACAGCTGCTGCTGCATCATCATCCTCATCATTTCAGCTACACTGGCAGGGCTAGGGGCCAGGACTCTCCTCTTCGGGTTTTTGGGGGATGTTGCTAACTCCGGGTCCGATAACAGGCACCACACCCGCAGTAGATGTGCTCGGTGTGAGGTCTCGCAGCAAGCTATCAAATACGGCGCATTTTTGGGCTTTTAAAAAAAACGCTATGCGTCGCCAGGTGTTTCATTAGATTCGAGGTGTTACCTCCTTTGACAGCATCACAGTATCAGCTTAAAGCACTTGTTGCTGCTGAGTTTGCATCTTTTGCTGTGAAGTACAGCCAGACTTTTGACCGCTTCGCTTTGGGCATTTTAAACCTGTAGCTCTGCTCTAAAAGAACGTACGTACCTGGCCCCGCCTACTATCCTCGGAAACGTAAAATGATTGGCTAGAATCTAAAGTGTATCACAGCTCAGGAAAAAAAAGCACCGAAATAAAGCACCGAAATGTGCGCTGCTTTTCGGTCTGGTTACTACCGTTTATGTCAGAACCGGTACCCATCCCTGGCCACGAGTACCATTCTCATAGCAGTCCTCCTGGCTCTTAACAGCGTGCACTACACTACTCTGTTTGTGTCGGGGGACCCGATCCTTGGGGTGGACCAGTTTTTAGCCACAGAGATGCTGCGTTTAAAGAAAGTGTGTCTTAACCCATACTCCTGACGCATTAGGCACCAGCAAAGGTTTTCTCAGTATTCAAACCTTAAATACTGATCTGTATGCGTAGGTTTACACGTCAGCTTTTAAATGTCCCCCATTACTGATGGAGTGATAGCAGAGTTCACTGTGAAAACATAAACCATGACAAGCACAGACACTGGATGTAGCACACACTTTCATGAACACTGTTTGGCTTCAGCTCTTTGTAAGGTGTAACTTTGCTCTCTTTTGTGTCTGGCTCACAAACCAACACGAGGAAGCCACAGACCGGTTGTAGCACCTCCTCTGCACACTGACAGCAGAGCACTGCAGGCCGACGGGCCGGCCTTGGAGAGGAGCAGACACCCTCCGTCTGCTCAAACATGAATCCCACTTCTGAGTGTTTACACTGTAGGTCAGCTGAGTGTAAGGCTGCTGCCTCCACCAGCTGGTGGTGATGAGTAAACACTGATCAATACAGCAGACGAGAGTTCTCCCAGTAAATAACGTGTGAAACGCTCAGTTCATTGTCAGGTGAGACAGTCACAGGAACATGTTCTGGACTGCACCACCTTTTTCCTCATTGCTCACATTGCCGTCTCTGTCAGCCCGAGCAGTGAAGAAGCTGAGTACTGTGCTTTCAAGTTTTACATTTGGCTAAGACCAGCATGTCCCTACAGACGCTGTAGAGGAAGTCCAACTGTGTCCCCAAGCACAGTCTCAGGAAGAGGTGGGCAGACCTGCAAAGGATCCTGAACCCATCAGCAGGACTGGTATTTGTAAGGAAGAAGAGGAGGAGCACAAAATGACCTCCAGCAGGTCGCTGTGTGGATGTCTCTGATCAGTCACTCAAAAACAGACATGAGGCTGGCCTGATGGCCCAACATGAGCCCATAATACTCTGGACTGGTTCTTATACAGCACTTTTCTTCTCTGCCTTACTGCAACGCGCCTCATTCGCCCATTCAACGACTTTTTACTGTGCTTAAGTTCTTTCTAACATTCACACTCTGATTGATGCGTCGGAGAACAACACGAGGTTAATATGTTGGCTTGCAGACTGGAGCAGCCAGGGATCAAAACACCAACCTTCCAGTTAGCAGACCTGCTGTGCCCGTTGAGCTGCAGCCACCCCACCTGCACAGAGGTGAGGTGCAGCAGGCGGTGCACTGTCGAGGGCAGCTTCACGCCTTCATTTGCATCCAATCAAAGTTTCAGGTCATCGATTGTGACTGTGACCTGCTTACTGGACATCTCAAAGCCTGGAGCTGCCTGTAGTAGAAGCAGTAATCCTTACATGTATAACGTCTGCTGCACGGAGACAAAAACTAGTCTCAGGCCCAAATAAAGTCATGTTAGCCATGAAATGCTGAGTTCATTGTCATTTGCACTAAATCTCCACTGTTTGAATACCCAGAGTCATTGAATGGACCGTGTCATGGTTTGAATATATTTATCCAACTTGACCATTGTTGGAGTCAAATTGTTAAATGTTGTCATTGTGTTAGTTAAATTTGTGTTAGTTCAAACTGTATGATCAAAGACATTCTTTTGTTTCTGACGCCGTCCGCAGCCTGTTGAGCGGTGGGGAGGCTGTAGTGTTTATTACAGGCACATCCTATGTGAGGCTTCTGTTTTCTTTAGCCTCCTGAGACCTGAACTCTTCCACAGCAGCATTTTTAATTTCTCTTTGATATTTGGGCTGATTGGGACCTGGTGAATGTAAAAACAAAGAATTACCCGATTTATTTATTTTTTTACCTGATTTTGGTTTCTGAGAAAAACGAGAGCCACATATGAGGATGTGTTTAGAATTTCGATAGAACAGCAGCAGCATAACGTCCTCGTCAGTGGACATCAGGCCCTTGCAGAGCAAAATTTAGTATTTTGGTCTAATTAACCCAAAATGTGATGTCCACACGTGTGGACGACAGGTCCTATGAGGTTAGTAAACTTCCTGCCTTTATGACCTTTTTGTGGGCCGCAGGTCACAGAAACACAACCCCAAACACACACATACAGATGGTCGCACATACATGCATACACACGCATGCTTACACGTGCACACACACACACACAGTACCTTATCTTTTATAACCATAGGGGGGTTTACAATGGGTGGTGCTGTGTGTACTGTAACTGTTTTCAATGAAAGGCAGCAAGCGGAGGCCGGGGTGGAAGTGGTCTGAACGAGGGCAGAAGGGCTGCTCTGAGATCCTCCCTTGCGCAAGTAAAATCGCTGTTCGTCTTGCTTCCTTAATGGGAATAAATCTCTAAACCAGCGGCCTGTGGAAGCGCAGACCCAACAACCATTACAGTTAATATGCCATAAAACAGCTTTATTCTCATATTGGCTCAAATGGCAGATATTGCCCAGCTAAGAGTCCTAGTCTTTCATATGTTTTCACCATCTAAATCTAATGTGTTGGTAGATGCTACCATTACTATTGTATGGCACAATTTTATCTGTATGTGCTTATAGCATGGAGTTTAGCTGCTGTCAGAACTACTGTGGGCCTCCATTATTCACCGAGCTGTAGATAAAGGGTCCGTTGGTGTGAACAGAGATTTGATAGTTTGAATGTTATAACTTTGCTTTTCTTCAGGCCAACAGCAGGGAGCTCTCTGCAGCCCTGGACTGACGCGGTGTGTTATCTCTGTTAGCCTGTTCTTCCCCTCGCTGCGCTCTCTAAATACCTGTGGTGTGTTTTTTTTAAACACCAAATCCCAGTTTATGCTGGAAGTGGAGTGAATCGGTCCCTCTGTAAGCAGCACTGGATCGAGTCCCAACACAACATCCCCACAGCACCAGGAAAACATGGAGGCCAAATGGTAAGCCATCATCTTTATTATGAAACAATATTGGGAGCAGATCAAATAGCTGTTACATGGTGTCGTTTGGCCGCTGCAGTCCCTTTCCATGTCCCGGCACATCCCTGGACGGCCAGCCCTCTCCCAGCTGCCTTCTAGGTTACCGTTTCTTGGACGATCTCCAGGAGCTGATCCAAGCTTCAAGCTTAGCGTCTCCTTCCCCCAGCTTGATAAGTTAGGCCCCTCCCAGCTGGGACTATGTGAGTATGTCTCAGTGTACTACAGGTTCCTGGTTCTAAACATGGTTATACTGGGCACCCAGCAGGAGGAAAGGGGACATGCATGGAAATTCAAATCAATCCAACACATTCTTGCAGATTTTATACACAAGTGTCAATCAAAAAAAAGACGTTTGGGAGCCAATGGCTGTTGAGGAGGGCGGGTGAATGGCTAACCATCTGTGATGCAGAAGTTTTCAGCTGCATGTTTTTAGTGTTTGAAAATCTTTAACACTCGGAAGTCATCTCTGGCATTTCTACAATAACTCGACTCATGTACGGCCTAACATTGTCAACTGTTACAGACTCTGGGGGAGGAGATGTGAGATGTTCCACAGAGTACGGTGCATTTCTGCAGCCAAACATCGGCCTGAGCTACGGCAACTCTCATTTCACTACTTCATGTGTTTCAGCTTAAAATGTTACACAAGATGGGCCAAATGAAAACCAACAAAACCAAAAACAAACACACTCGTCTTCTGCTTTTCAAAATAAAAGAATCAAATATTTATGACCAATCATGTCTAAGTGAGATCCATTTAAAACAGGAGCTGTTTCTACTGAGGAAAAGCCAAAAAAGCCCAAAGAAAATTAACACATGTTCCCTTAGCATTTCTTTTTTCCCCATTTTTCACTTTAAGAAAGAGTAGAAAGTTAGAAATGGTCTGGAGATCTACGGCGACGAGGACGAGAGAGAGAAAGCGGTCTGATCCACAGAGAGTCCTGCTTGGCTGTCGCTGCCTGGCCTCAGCGGGGCAGCTCCAGGGCCGTTTAAAGGAGCGCTATGTGAAACGGGGGGGGGGGGGGGGGGGGGCCGAGGAGGTGGCGAGCTGCTGGTGGGGGACGGAGCGGGGAGGGCAGAGGAAGATCAGTATTTGGTCGGACACGTGAAACAGAAGGGGGCTGGGGAGGGAGGCAGACAGAGGGCTACGCGCTCGTGACGTGATCAGTCCATTGGCCGCTTTTCTCCGTGTTTCTTTGTAAATTCTTCTGCGTTCTTCAAGAATTTTTTACGGTCTTTTGAGTATTCTTCTGCTAGGTCGGCCCTCAGGGGATGCTCGGGCTGGGGGTCGTTCACCAGCGCGATGAGGGACTGAATTACTGAAAGACACGAAGGAGATCGAGTCAGACACAAAATGCTTCCTAACAGGCCACAGCCTCCACTGTCACAGCAGTTTGTTTGTCAGGAGGCTGCAGTGTGCTGTGACTTACAGCTTTTCACAACTATCATCATGTAAAGCAAAGAAATAGAAAACATTTCTAAAAAGTAATAAAAACAAAACAGTCTGCAGCTTGTGCACTTAGATAAGTCTTTAGAGTCAGAGTGAACTCATGAGTTTGTGTCGTGAGAAAGTCCAACCTTCTCTTCGTCAGTCTCACATCATGCAAACACATGTTGTATGACTGTAGGTAACACACACTGACAGTGGGAAGCAGCTTCAGCTTAATGTTGTTGTGATTGTTTAAATAAAACTGTTTGTTGTGTGTGGACGTTTAGGAGACGCGCTCAGTGAATCCACAAACACAAACCCAGCGTGCCCTGATAGACCTGATCAGCACAGTCGTGTCGTTCTTCTGAAACGTGCACACATCATGTAAGTTCACTGATAAATCCATGGGACCGTTCTGAAACACTACAGAGGGCAACTGGGAACTGATTAACCAATGACGTTGCTGCAATAAGTCATGTGCACAGTAGAGATGGACCGATCCGATATTACGTATCGGACCGTAAATTACTGGATCGGATATTGGAGAGAAATTTAAAAAAAAAAATGTAATCGATCCATTAAATAACAAAAGCGCCTCACAAAACTTGCGACACGCCGTAACTCTGCTCATAACCGTAGCACGTCGGAGCAGCGTGGTGACGTGATAGAGCGGCTGTGTGTTTGTAGCCTCGCTACCAAACTCAGAGGAAGTTTTCCTAGAGAGAAGTAAAGCAAGTGTGCAAGTCCATCTCTGAATGTTTGTAAAGCATTCCTGCGTTAAGCTTAACAACCGATATATGGAGCGACTGCCTCTCCCTCCCTCTCCTGCTGCTGCTTCAATCATTAAACTGATCAATGATCAGCTGATCGTCTCTTGTTTGTTTTTGGCCCACTTTGCACCAGAAAGAGGAAACCAGCGGCTGAACAACAGCAGCACGTTTAAGCTTGATCAGCTGTTGTTAGAATGTATTTAATATTACTTTCTACTCGAGGATCTTTTTCTACGTAGCTGACGGCTGGTAACTGTGCAGGGGCGGATCTAGCAAAGTTTAGCCAGGGGGGCCGATAGGGCATTAACAGGGAAAAGGGGGCACAAAGACATACTTTTCTTTCTTATTGTCATTTAAAATGTCGAGCTTTTAATAAATAATTATCCGAATCTTACACCCAAAGTTTTAATCTGATGTAAAATGTACAGAAGTCCATTACTGTATATAGTAACTGTTAAGTCTAATATACCCTAGTAAGCTATAGTACTTTTTCCATCTGCGCAGTTTTGTTGAAGAAAGATGTTGAATCTATTTTTATTCTTGAAAAATAATTTATTTCTGTGCATTTTTTTTTCCACACTGCATCAAATTAAAGTTGATTACATCGATTAAGCATCATGAGTCGGAGGGTGGGGGTTCACTATTTTTTTTGTTGGGAGTTTGCAACCCTATTAGTTAGGTTGCTTACTCTTTAAAATACCAGAGTAGGAGGATGGAGCAGGTTTAAGTTTATTAGATTGATCAGTTTTGCTGAACTATGAAATATTTTGGGTGCAGTGTGTTTTTTATTTTACATACAGGAGTAACAGAATAGCTTTAGTGTTGTTGTTTATTTAAACTTGAGTATGAACTTATACAAAATGCAGCAAGATATTAAAAAACAGTTTTATTGATTAAAAAACACTATATCGGAGTCATATCGGTATCGGCAGATATCCAAATTTATGATATCGGTACGGACATAAAAAAGTGGTATGGTGCCATCTCTCGTGCACAGTAGAGGTTAACCCCCATTTCAGCTGCGTGGTTGCATGTATGGTGTTTGTTGAGAGGACAGATGCTCTTCCACGTCAGCAGACTGAAGCTCAGCTTATGGGGAAACATTTAAACTATTGAATTAAAACTGTCAGATTAAAGATTAACCAGTGAGATGAAACCCTGCAGTGTGACGTATGTAACGATGTGTTTGACAGTAGAAACCATTATAACCTGATCTATAATGAAAGGCCAAAAGTTTACAGACGCTCACAGTAACTCTTCCAGGGTGAAGCGACTGTACGGCACATGTTTAAGGACTTTTAAAAAAAGAAGAAAGAATTGGATGCACAATTTTAAATCCGTCTGTCAACTCAAACGTCTGATCTGACGCTGACTTTTCTCCACGTGGGCAGCTGCAGGTTAATGTGTCCTCTCCTACACCTCAGCAAAGTGCTAACACATCCAAATAACTGGCACTTATGTCCAACTGTTGAAACTGGTGATCCCAGAATCTGCAGTCATTTAGAAACGGCTGCACTGAGCTCCTGGGATGCTCTTAAAAGCCCAACATTAACCCTACTGAAGAGTTTGTAGACTGAGGTTAGGGTTACAGAGATGGCTCCATGACACCAAACCAACTGGAATGAACTCTACCCACTGTGCCCAGAACGGTGGTCAAATATCCTGCCAGAACTATGCTAAAGGCCAAGCCCCACTCACTGAGGGGCAGTTTGCTTTCAGTCGCAGTGTGGATCAGACAAAATCAATCCAAACTTGTTTCTAAAGTGGTTAAACGTGCTCGCTGCACAGTCACTCCACCCTGAAAGAAACCGGTTCAAAGAAATCATTAAAGGACCCAAATTATAACGACATTTATACCCACGAGCACTGTGGAAACTCTGACCACAGATCTCCCTCGTTCCCACTAGCACCTCGTCTCCACTCTGTTTCCATGACAACTGAGCACCACCCCAATGATGATGGGTTGTTATAGCAAGGTGGCCCAAACAATGGAGCAGACTGAGGATTATAGCTGCACCTGCACCCATCGTTGGACCACAGTGTTGGTTTATGTGCAGCTGTTTCCCTCCATGTTTCACAAACACTGGTGGGGTTGATTGTTGTCTGCTGACATCACACTTTCTGCCCGACTCTGCTCGCTTGAAACCGTCACCAGGTACTAAAAGCTGTCTGGCAGCAGGTCCTACCACCTGAGGGACAACACTGAAAACTGAGTCGGTGCTGAGTTCATTCTTGTTTTTCACGTACACTTTGTGATAAACTCCGCAGGTTTCTCTTTGTTTCTTTCAAACTGAAATAACACTCAATGTTTAAGATTTAGGGAATAAATGTTCCCTAAACCGTGAGTAGGAGTCATCTGTGTCTCCTGCTTCGCTGATAAAACAAACAGGTTAGCAGCTGCAGTAGCAGCGATATAAAAACACACAGCCGTCTAAACGATGTGACGCTTTACTGAGTCACAGAATCGTCACAGCTTCCTGTTACTATAGCTGTGCTGTTCAATAAATACAAAACATACTAAACACTGTGTTTTGATCACACAACCATGCGTGTGCATAAAACACGCTTTCTGCTCTGTTCGTCACACGGAGCTCTATGTGAAAATGCTCTGAGCCCGACAGACGGACAGTTACTGAAACAGGACAACGTTTTATTTTGGACACGGACTTTTTTTTTTCCTGCAATCATCACGTCAGACAAAAATCAAAAGATGTGCAGCTCTCCAGCTCGCTGCGACTCACATCGAGCAGCCCTGTGTAAGACTTCAGCACCAACCTTGGTCAGTTTTGGTGGCAGGCTTCCAGTTCTCTGCACTGATCACAGGCAAGCACACCTGGCCCTTCTCATCAATGTTGGGGTGGTAGATCTTTGTCTTGAATGTGATCTTGGGAGGCTTGAAAGGGTACTCGGTGGGGAAAATGATTTCAATCCTGAATGCACCTTTGTCATAAGGAGGGTTGTCCTGAAAGGGAACCAATAAGGTTAGTAAGGGGAACCTCGGGCCTACGTATCTCAGACCAGCCAAAGAAGGAACAGCAGCTTACAGGAACAATCAGCCCTTGCCATGCCAGTAAGTTTGATTCCTCAACTTGAATGTTTCTGAAGTTTTTCATTCCAGACTTGCGAATCTCATCAAGTTCCTGAAAGAACGAGCACACAGTTGATATTAGAAAGGTTATTACAGTCAATACAAGAAAAATAAAACATGTATGATTTTACAGAGTGGAAGGATGCACCACCCAAATGACACCACCAGTTTAGGACAGCATAGCAGGAAGACGCAGCCTCCAAACTACACACCAGGTTTTAAACTGCGCTGAAATTATTTACACGTTCTTTCCTGAATGTTGATGTGAAGTCTAAGCAGAAAGTAGGAGCAAAGAAACAACAAGCTGATGTTGGTTTGGTTCCTGTTATCCACCTCAGAGGTCCCCAGTACTAAACAGCACCACCTCCAGTGTTTTCAGGTAAAGAAAATTAAAGCTGCTATACAATGAAACATGTCACTTAAAACAAATGACAAACCAACTGCAACATCTCAGCTTTGTAGAGAAGTGTTGTATATGGTAGATCTGAGGATGTGCTCAGCGCTACATGTTTTATTCACAGTATGTGTCCAGTGACCTGTTAAGCTCTAAACTGCTTGGATTGCAACTATTTCATTGCATAAAGTAGCAGCGTTGCACTTAATCCTAATTCATCACATGCTAAACAAACTCAAGCCTTCCAGCCAACAGGAGCGTTTCTCTTTCATTTCAGTGCAGCAGCCAACAGTGAAAGTGAAAGTGAACTACAACCTGCATCCAGCAGCACCACAGTGGACCTCCTAGTTTGCCATCAGGTTACTGGTTCTGTCACCAGTTTGACTTACGTTAGATTATGTTAGCTATTAGCTGAAACCCCCTGAGTGGCACTTACAGCCAGCCTCGTGGTTCCATCTGTGGCAGGTTTTTGTTGCACAGCTCGACGGTGTAAACGTGTCTAACACGTTTTTAGGGTAAAGTGATTGTGATTAATAAACAGCGTGTGACCGGTTTACGGTCCAACAGCACCGACGTTTGTTTCACGTGAATGAAATCCTGTCAATGTTAATCTGCATGTCCGCACTGAATAACTCCACCTGCATCAGTGAGCCGGTTCCAGGCCAGCTCTGCTCCGCGTGCTTTCAGCGTTGTTACTCCGGGTAAACTTCAAACATACAGCCTCCTGTAACCGCCTCATTCAGCGCAGTGTACGTTTAAAGGCGGAAACGATAATCACGGGGAAACAAACGTAGGTTAACGCAGACCTTACGCAATATGCTACGACCACTACACAAAACGAAAGCAGCATTTAGTGTGTGTCGCCTTCAGGCCGCATTACTGGAAGTGTAACGCTGCGCTGTAGTTCACACCCACTTCCTAATGGCGAACTTCAAAGTCTGATTAAGTTGAAGTGTAGCTAGCTGAGACCTGGGGATAGCAACTTAGCTGATTAGCAAACGTCTTATGCCGTGGAAATTGACACGATCTCGGGCTGCCCGCTGCCGGATTGACTCCCTCGGTCACACAACTCAAGAGTTTCTGACGTTCAAACTGTAGATAAGAGACTTGAATGAGGTTTTTGGCAGCCCCGGGCAGGATCCCTGTAGATCCTCCGGCCTGATTTGGGACTGCTTAGTTGCCTAACGTTAATATTTGGTCGGCTAGGTGGTCAATGCTGACCTCTTGTTTCTGTTGAGCTACAGCTACAGCTGGACACTGACGGTCACTTAATGCAAATATACTCTGTAACGTGAACACGAGCCAAAGGACGGACGCTTCCACTAACCGTCAATACGTCCTTAAACATTAGAAACGATCAAAAAGAACGGCAACGACGGATTTACCTTGGCCAGCCTCCTGCTCGCCGCCATCTTGAAACTACTGTGTGTTCCCAGAATTCACCGCGCTGGGAATATGGGTCTGTTCCTGCGCTGAGGCTGATCAGGTTGGACATCCGCCTGTTTGTGAACATGCCGACATGTCCACGCCAGGAAGCGACGTGTTTAAATGCGGGATATCTGTAATTATGTATGTTACAAACATGTTGGGCTGTGAGCCGGAGCCGCGGGGGGAGACCTGAGCCTGAACCCAGCTGTGTCTGCTTCCGCTTTATTTGTTAGTATTAATGCAGGTGTTCGCATGTAGACCCCTGAAAACGCATGATGAGTTACACCTGTATGAGTCGGCTTGGTTAACCCTCAGCTCTGCTGTCAGTCTGTTGTAATTGGCTCATGCAACAGTCGTGTGGATGGCACAGAGCAAAAAAGGTTCCATGTGCTTGTGCAACACTTTCAACAATAAAGTTTTATTTGAGTTCATGTTTCTACTTTAATATCACGTGCAAATCCATGTTCGCCCTGCACTTTCGTTCTAAAGCTACAAACATGTGTGAATCTGTCCATCAGCACTGCAAACAAGTACGGCTCAGAGCACGTTTCTGATGTAACCCCCCCCCACTGCTGCACACATGTATGTGCTGCACCACCCTGCTGTACAATGACCGTCGTCTCTCTCAGTATAGGATGATGTAGCTCTGCAGGTCATCCTTGTACCTGAACATTGAAAAGCGGTAGTCCACCTTCAGTTTGAATATTCAGACTGCACCGTCTCATTTATAAACATGTGTACACTGTGTTATTAGAAATTATTAATTAACTTTAGTCTGATGGCATTTATGTGGTTGTAAATTCTGTTTCACTGTTACACTTTGCTGTGACAGCACTGAGAGAGCAGGACAGAGAGGGTGAGAAAGAGACAGAGCTAAGAACAGGACAAGATCTGACACGTAGTGAAAGATGATACACACCAGGGAAGCTTCTGTTTCACTCATGATGATTTTATAGAACTACTCAGTGTGTGTGGACCACAAACCTGCTCTTATAACATAGATTATGTTGATCGTCTGCAGTGCCACAGCGTGTGGAGTGATCATGGCGACCCAAACACAGACGACCAGACGCAAAACTAGATTTTGACAAATGTGTGTCGTTCATTATGGCCGATAGCAAAACATTAACCAAAAGACAAACCCCTTTCTTTCCCTAAACTGGGAAAACTACAGACATGAAACCTGGAACAGTCAGAAATACCTGAACACTTGCATCAACATAGGACTGAGGATGACAGGAAGAAGAGTGTCTGCAAATGTGCACGTTAGGTGGAAAATCATCAAAGATTGCTTTATTATTTAGTCAACAGGTTGAAACGATGTTGTGATTCTCTTCTTACTGCTTTGCTGTAAGCCTACTGAGAAGTCCACTGCTCCCTCTCAGACATCTCCATACCTCCACAGGTATGGCACCTGGACCAGCTGCCTTTCCACTCCTCCTCCTTTCTAAGTCACTTCCTGACTCACCCACTGTCCATCTGTGCTCCTCAATCTCTCGTTTTCTGCACACTCCCATCACCTGTTAACACATCTCCATTCCTGTCCCTGATTATCTCCAGCTCCTTTCCAGCTCCATCTGTCAGCGTGTAGCCACTCAGCACTGTTCTTTCCCTCCTTCACATACAACTCACTAAGGCTTTTCCTTTGCCACGTCTGTCTTTCCTGTATGCCTAGTTTCCCAGTACTCCTGTCTGTATTTTGCACCTCCGGTCCCACTTTTTATTTGCCAGTCTCTTTGGTAATCTCCTTTTAATATTTTCCTGCACTTCCTCATCCCTCCACCAAGTCTCGTTGTCCTCTTTCCTCTGTAGGACACACCCATCACCTTCATGACAGGTTCCTTCAGCCTATAGCTGTACTGTTCCAGTCATGTTTGCTGCCACTCGGAGCCTGTCTCAACCTCTCCCTGAAATCTGTGCAGCATCCTTTACTCTTCATTTCCTACCATTGCATCCTTGCCTCTGCCTTCACTCGCTTCCTCTTGATTTCCAAAGTCGTCCTCCAGCACTACCATCCAACGCTGCTCCAGCTGTCACTCGTTACTCTACGCCCCGCCCTTGATACACGCCCACAACACAAAATCATGGCCAAAAGATCTGAAACTGATAAAAAAGAAGAAGAAAAAATTGCAGCTGTAAAAAACAACAACAGAAAACAGACAAAGGATACTTTATTCAAAATAATTCATCTGCTTGTTTGTTTTAATTTTTAAATGTCAAAAACAGATGGAAATCACTTTTCCAGATGAACAAAGCTTTTGATCCTAATTTAGTTCCATAGCAATGCGCCACATTTGACACGGCAGCAATACCCACGGCAGGCTGTACCCACGGCAGGCTGTACCCAGTCTGTCCCCGGGGCCCATAGTGGGACCCATCAGCTCGGTGGTACATGCTGCTTCGGTGGCCTTAAAGAGCTTGGTCTCACTCTCTTATCTATATAAATTAGCGAGGATTTGACACGTGCTGTGGGACCATTTCCTAACACATGTTAAACAACAGCAGTTTTCAGACTCTTGCTTGTCGTGACAGGCTTCACTGTGAGTTTCCTTGTAGCTGCTGTAAAGTGAACCGCACTGTTATGGCGTTATTTTTGTGCCACTATTCTGCAGTGTTGGGACTAACGCGTTATTAAGTAACGCGTTACAGTAACTACGTTATTATTGTGGTAACGAGCACGGTAACTAGTTATTATGCCAAAATCAGGAACGCGTTACTCGTTACTGGGATTTAGATAGGGTCGTTACTCGTTACTTCGTGAGCTTCCACAGATTCAGTAACATTAGCAAGTGGTGGAGGCAGCAGGTGGATGAAGGAAAAGAGACCCGAGGCGGCCGCCGGTCCAAGTGTGAACTGAACTTCAGGTAAGAAGTTATGACCTGCAGTCTCTCTGGGTCAGATATAAACCAAGTTTAGGTGGAGTTTATTTTCGTTATTCTGACCTTCTCCGTACTGCGTGCTAGCTAGCATGACGGAGTTTCTATACAGCTGGGTGGTGCTATGAAGTTAATGATGTTGAACCTTATTTTGTTCATAAGTTATTAGAGTTGCCAACCGGTCCCGACTGGTATTCAGAGGAAATATTACGCGTTTCTTATTGAGGTGAAAAGGAACAGTTTGTCCCGTAATTCAGCTGCAATGAAAAAGACACAAAGCTGGAGTTATTCTGTGTTTACTGCACAGCTACCTCTCCTCTCATCCTCTCCCCCTCCCTCTCCCGTTTCTACTTCAATCATGAAACTGATCAATGATCAGCTGATCAGCTCTCTTGTTTGTTTATCGCTCACTTTGCGCCGAAAGAGGAAACCAGCGGATGTCGCGCTAAACAACAGCAGCACGTTTAAGCTTGATCAGCTGTTGTTAGAATTTATTTAATATTAATTTCTAGTATCAGCTGATGTTTGCTGGAGCCACAGCTGTAAAGCTGCTGGTCATGATATGGTTTGGTTATCTGGTGAGAGGGAAACATGAAGATGAAACCAGGAGATGTCCTTACTGGATCATCAGAGCTGTGATGGAGAAACAGGTTTACCTTTTAGGTGACATGGATGAGTTGAAGTTATGAACTGTTTCTGAGAGACAAATAACACCAGGATCCTTTTTTAGGTAGCTGACAGCTGGTAACTGTGCAGGGGCGGGTCTAGCAAAGTGTTGCCAGGGGGGCATGTAGGGCATTAACAGGGAAAGGGGGGCACAAAGAAATACTTTTCTTTCTTATTCTCATTTAAAATGTCTCGCTTTTAAAAAATAATTATCTGAATCTTACAACAAACGATTGATAGATTGATGCATATATACCATCAGAACAGTGAACATCACTGTCACAACAGTGTTTGTTTTCATTCAAAGGCTTTATGATTTTTCCTATAATGGTCAAAATGCCCAGGACAATTTTCTGTCCCAGTCCAGCCATGTATGCAGCTCATCTGCAGTCTGCTGTTACCTACATCTTCCTATTCAGAAGGCAGAATTTCAGAGTTCTGAGTACAATCGAAAGCACCACGACTGCAGTTTTTGTGTTGGATGTAAAAGGCGCACATGACGCTGTGACGTAGGCTAGAATCATGGCAGCAGTCAATGACGGTCCAGGCGTGGGATTTCTCTCGTGGAAATGTGCACATTATCTTTTTCTTTCTATTGGTAGGTGGCACAGTGCACTGTGGCAAGTAAGCAAGCTAGAAGACTGCAAAGTTATGGGAGCAACACATTAACAAGAGAATTCTGAGTAAAACCAAAGTTACTTTCCCTAGTAACTAGTTACTTTGAAAGTAACGAGTAACTTGAAGTAACTGCGTTACTTTTGAGAGAAGTAACTAGTAATGTAACTAAGTTACTATTTTAAAGTAACTTACCCAACACTGCTATTCTGAGCACACGTAAAAAAAAGTTTGCAGGTGCAAGTGTTGTATTTTGAGGAGAAATTTATTTTGAGCGAAGAAAAGCTAAATTTGAGTGAACAAAATTCATTCCTGCGTGCAA